TGTGTAATCAAGTGAAATCAAAGTGAAAGGAGTCGAAAAAAACCCTCCTCTTTTCCACCTCCTCCTCAGTCTCCTTTTCCTCCCCAATCCCATCCATCTCYTCATTTCCTGCTATTCGATCTCCTCCTTGCCGTACCCCCTCCTTCCTCCTTTGTCTTCTCCTTTCCTCCTCATTTTCTTGTTCTCTCCACCTCCTAAAATATCTTCTCTCTTATCTTCCCCCTTTCTTATCCACGCTGGCATTGTTCCATGAACGAGAAGGGTAGTTAACGACWTTGTTTAATATCTCTTGGACAGACAAAGACCCGTGTAAGAGTAACCCATGCAAGAACTTTGGCAAGTGCTATGACAGGATTGACCGCTATGAATGCGTCTGCCCAACTGGATACGTAGGCAACCAATGCGAACGAAGTAAGGGCAAAAACTAATATATTYACAGGGAAATGTYATTTAAATATATCAACAATGTATTTCCGGGSATTTTCACGATTGTTAAGCGCATTTTTCTACACATTCAATGTTGCTTTTCTCGAACRATATGGAGAAATCACGTTACATTACAATTCTTTCATTGAATTCAAATGGGTTTGTTTTCCCTGCAAAAGTCACATTATCTTWAAAATATTACTTTTTTTCCAGAATGTAATTACTGCAAGCGTAATACGTGTCTAAACCGTGGTCGGTGCTACATATCGCCGATCCATAACGTCTGGTTCTGTAAATGTCGYTATGGATTTTCTGGAGATCGATGTCAAAATGGTGAGAAAACAAGCAACTGTTGCTTATGATAATACACTTTTACAGCWCACATTGGTCCGCCATTTTGATTCGGTTTGCAATGTATCATGGGATACCAAGTAGTTTGGATTTTCCTGAGATGAAATGTTTGTTTTGAAAATTCTCGACTAACTGCAAATTTTGTAGGTCTTTCTTGTTGTCCTTACTGTGTGATATTTGCCGTCTTTTCGTCAGTGAAACTATAGCCTCCACATTTACCTTGATTTGTGTAGGAACTTAGCCCGCGGCATAGATGACTGGAGCGCTGCCATCTTGCTCGATGTTGACTCATTTATCAATCCAGTGCATTGCGACATAAGGACTACGTGTGTCTTGTATCGACTAGTTTCCATTTTTGACGTATAAACTGAAATAGGTACATGTTTGTGTTTTAAGGTATGACAGGACGATGTGCGTACAGACCATGTAAGAACGGTGGAAGTTGCTGCGAAGATCCTAATTCACCACTTGGTTATCGCTGTAAATGTCGCAAGGGTTACGAAGGAGCTCGATGTCAACGAGGTTGGTTTATAACTTAAATTCTRCGTSTTGAAAAAACATTGTCGMCCTAAGCGACTTSACTCCGCCTACACCCTTGACTGAAATGGATTATGGGTAGAAATCTTAAAGCARTTGAGACTAGAGACTGTTCTTATCTTTACGCAAAATGTGGAGACAAAAGCGAGTTTTTTTATCTCTTTTGTTGCATCAGATGTCTGTCAATTTACCCATGATGTMTTTCGGTCTAGWCGCGTGTAGGTGAGACCGCTGACAATCTAAAACAATTGTCTTGTTAATGCATCTTTTCATCGCAGCTTTTCCTATATAAAYACAAGARACTTGAACTCAATTGTTGTTTTCTTTKATTCAGTTATTCAACGGCAYTCGTGTACACGAAGAAGAATGCAATTACATCGCTTCAGAGGTAAGACAATACACAGATACAGTATCACAATGACTTGGTGTCGATAGTTGTAAAATATTTTTTAAATATTAAAACCTTAGACGTCTGAAACGTAGGTTGCGCGATGTCTGGAGGCCGTGGCTACGTAGGTAATCGAATTTCAGACAATCTCCATGCAATTTTTCATGGACGAGGCGAAGCCGAGTATAGCGCTCGAGTCTTTTGTTAATAAAATAATTTGTTGTATTAGTATACAAGTTAACCAATAATTAATGAATAAATAGTGGATTAATAATGATATTATTCTATTTCAAGGAATGCCGTCATTTAGTTCAYTGTACAGGAACTATCCAAGCTATATCGAATGCGACTCCAAATGGCTACGTAAAAATACTGATTTAGCCGGCGTAGCAAAGCAAAGGTCTAGTGCTGTAAGACTATCACTTGCACTCTGTAAATCAGGTCAGTTGTTATATACCACCTTGTACTGTATACAGTCAACTCTCGCCTTATGGACACGCCACTATTACGGACACCTCGATATTACGGACAGGAAATACTGAATCCCTGTCAAAAATACAAAGAAATAACTGAAAGTAACTCCCGTTATTACGAACTCTCGATACTTCGGAAACTAATGACGATCCCGAGAGTCTCCGTAATAGCGAGAGTTGACTGTACCCGGAAATGGGTTCACTTTCTAGCTTCATAACAACTATACCAGCTCCGTCAAGATTAGAATTGCTATTTTACCTACAAAACTTTAATACACTTCACAAATTGATTTGCAATGCATTGTGGGATCCATTTCTTGTGAAA